TCTGGATCCAGTCAGGAATCGAACCCCAGCCCTGACCCTTCACCCCACAAACTTTGCCCCACAGTCTGTGTCCCATGGTGACATTACCTACATTTAGCCCAGGAAAAAAAAAAAGATTACAGAGAAAAGAAGATTGATGAATGTTAGCACGTCAAATAGAACTTCATATTTACCTTTAAAAGTTTCCACAGCTAGAGTTAGCTTAGCATTAGACAAAAGATAGAAACAAAAAAACAGCTAATGCTAAGAGATACAAAAAGTGAAGTTTGTAAAAATACACAAAACTATGTAGCCAAAGTAGCAGGAAATCGAACAAAAGAATATTGCAAAATTTTTAAAAAATGGTGAAATGATCACCAAGAAAATCTGTTTTAACAGATTTTTATCAAAGACTGAATCTTTGTTTGTTAAAATTACACCGTAAAAAAATAAGAGTCCATCTAAATAATTTAAATAAATCAGAAAAACATTTGTGCTGTGATGATTTCCTGCCTCCTGAAGAATGTCTGTGTTTTGTGTTGGCAGTGAACGTACTGTAAAATGATGATGAATTATTAACTCCTTTATCTACTGTAAACACAGAGATTTGACTTGGCTGAAAAACATTAGCTGCACAAACACGGGTGAACACGGATCACGGCCGCTCACCTTCAACTTCTCAGTCAGGTGATTCTGTAAAATACAGAATCATTTCTTTGTATTTTTCTTGTGAATTCGGCCGAGAGTTGAGTTGATCAACTAGCTCAATTTTCATTCACTAACACAAACTGACCACACGAGGCAGCACTGCACCTGTGTTTCCCAGGCTCTTTAGAATCAATGGTTTTCCCTGTTGACGTTGGTTTGGGCAGAGAGTTTTTATTTTAGTTTTTTTTATACATTTGACTTTTCTGTCAGGAGCCCAACTGTTGGAGTATGAATATCACATACAGACACACACCAGCAAAACCACAGATCATATTGTTCTTAAGTATGTGTGTGTGTGTGTCGCTACTAGACGTAACAGCAGCAACCTCAGCACAAACACACTCCTTATACACTGTTATGTAAGTGACGAGTTGTTCACAGAATCAGTAACGTGAGACGAGCACTCAAGTTTCAGCAGTTTTTACAAACCACAGTGGTCTGAGGAACGTACACACACACACTCACACACACACACTCACTCTATACACTGAGGCACACAGTACACAGTGTGCTTCTGTGACTTGGAGACATGTTATGTTATGTAATTTTCTGAACACCCAGTGAAGACCTCGAACCCAAATTCCACGTGAATTTTCTTGGTCTGTTCACCTCATAGTTCAAGCACAAAATATTTTAAAAATCCAAGATTAATCTGTAAATGCTGAAAACCAATCAAAACGCATTCTTATCTTCACAGGACCAGAATCAGGACCTTTAAAAAAAAAAAAAAAAAGCACGACATATCCCTCTGAAAACACCTCAGACAAGTTTCTTCTTCTTCACTTTATTGGTGAAGTCTGTTTGTTTACGTGTTTCCTCCCCAGGTCTGCAGGGTGACGGCAGAGCTGCCAACGAATCTGTTGATCTCACTTCCTGTCTTGTGAAACCTCCTTACATTCCTCTGTCAGAGACAGATTGATAGAGAGAGGCCCGGGCTGTATAAAAATGGACTCTCTCTCTCTCTCTCTCTTTCTCTCTCTCTCTATTACTCTCTGCCAGTGTTTGAATGGAGGAAACAAACTCACTGAACTCCGGCCGTTGGCCGTTGCCCAACTGCTATCAGAGTTGACGCTGGAGGCTGAAAGGCCTGTTTTTCTCTGTGCTCTTCATTCAACGGCAGAGAAACAGGAAGAGTTCAATAACAAAGGAAGCAGTTCATGTGACAAAAGGACACGGCAAGAAGCCGTTTCGCAAAAGTTAGCCGTGTTGGGACTCAGATTAACAGAGTCATGTAAACATTGGAGTTTCATCAAAACACCAAAGTCTGTGAAAAAAAAATCATGATTTAACATCAGAGCTCCCAGATGTTGTCGACCCACGTCTCCCTCTATGATTCAGAGCCCTTTCATACCAGAGCTGTTTGGTTGGCTTTAAGTGGACCAGAGATGGTTTCCTTGAATAGTCCGCTTCGATTGGACAGGTGTGAAAGTTCATCTGAGCTCCAGTCCAGACCAAACGGGCAAACTCTGGTCCTAGTGGTCTCGGTTCGTTGAACCCTTAAATGGTTCACTTATATAATGAGTTGTGGTCACAACGTAACTGGACGATAGAACCAAAGAAAGTGAAGCAAAGAGATGAGGTAACATGTGTAAATACAGTGTATTTTGGTTAGATAAACTGAAGGATCAGAGCTGTGAACGGCAGCAGTGAGGAGGTGCAGGCTGGTACTGATCTCTGGTCAGCTATACCGTGGTTGAACAATGGACTTCTTCGTGTCTTTTGTCTCGCTGGTCAGTCCTCGATTGAGGCGGAGCAACTGTGACTCCGTGATGTTGTCCAAACAGCTTGGTCTGCTTTAAAAAGTGAACCAAAACTAATGAATCAGTGTGAAGTTTTTTCTGACGTTCCAACGACTGTGATGTGTCTGCGGCCTTTACTTAGATTCACCTGCTGGTCACAATAGAGGATAAAAAAAACCTCTTTATTTTACTTTTCATGTTTTACATTTGTTGTAGTTAAAGTAGAAGCCGGTCTGGACTTCTTCAACGCTGCACTGTGCTAAGATGACGTGAACATTTTCACACAGGCGTTAAAGTCCATTGTTCTAGGATAGATTTAAACTCAGGTATTTGAAAAACATCCTACTTCAGACGTTGGTCTGTGGAAGTGAGTCCACAGAAAGTGGGTCACACGTACACAAACACACTTCCTCAGTCTTTCATGTTTTCCTGTGTGTGAGTCAGCAACTGCCAATAAAACACAAACACACACACACACACACACACACATTCCCTCAGACCGTGACCTCATCCTCCTCTTTGTCTTGTTTGTGTTTGACTGTTGTCGGTTGGTATGTCTCCACCCTCTGTGACTCCACCTCCCTCCACCCAGGACATGCTCAGGACTCTGGTTCTGGTAACAGCCACAGCTGTGGAGGTTTTTCTGTATTTACTGCTGTGCAGTAAATAAAGTCGTTGACTGTTGAACCGTGAGGCCAACAATAGTCGTTCAGCTGCTGCTGAAACACAAACCCACACTTCACTTTGAAAACCTTATGGTCACAGTTCTGGGTTTCTTCTTTTTTGAAGGGAGTGTTGTTTAATCAAGGACATAGTTTGTCATAGTTTTTTTTTAACTATTCTGTGTATTCTGCGTGTACATGTCTGTACAAGTCAGGAACTCTCAGATCAAAATGATATAAATCTCATTCAAAAGTCCATAAAGGAAACCTAATAGTAGTAGATGAAAAAAGTTTCAAATTTTCTGTGTTTTTTAAACTATTCTGTGTATTCTGCGTGTACATGTCTGAGCTTCTAAAGAACGGAACTCTCAGATCAAAATGATAACCTAATAGTAGTAGATGAAAAAAGTTTCAAATTTTCTGTGAAAGTATTTTAAATAGACATTTTTTTCTTAAACATTTATTGCCTTTGTTATTTATTGTCAATGAGCTCTTGGTACCTAATAGTAGTAGATGAAAAAAGTTTCAGATTTTCTGTGAAAGTATTTTAAATAGACATTTTTTTCTTAAACATTTATTGCCTTTGTTATTTATTGTCAATGAGCTCTTGGTACAAACTTTAAGTTACATTATTAGAATTTTTTTATTCAGTGGTGACGATCTAAATTGTGTTTTTTATTTCTAGGCTAACTTTTACCAGTCTGTTGCTACTAGTTGTTTTTGCTGTCCTTTTTTATAAGACTCTTCTATCATTTTGACTTATTAATTAATTAGTAAGTTAGTATAAAACATGTTGCTTTATTTTTAGGCATTCTTTTTTTGGCCAGGTTTTACCTGTTTATATTTTTTTCTGGCTTAGTCACATTCAGCAGGTGGTGTTTTAAAAAGTTTTGTAATGTTCCTTTAATTTAAACAGCTTCTCCATGTGTTTCGTCCAAGTGTTGTGTCTTCACGTTGAAGGAAACTGGGGCTGACAGTTTATCTTTGTTTCACTTCTTTCTTTGTGTTGTTATTGCTCTTTCACTGGATGAATCCAGTTTGAGTCAACTCCTCCTGCTGCTATTGAAACCAACAGGAAACTTCAGGCCGGGCTTTCTGATTGGTTCATGTACCACATGGTGCCTCTGATAGTAGCTCCATTTATGGTCACAGGGGGCTCCGTGCCTCTGCCTTTGACTGGAGCATCAGGTTCAGCCGGGCTGCTGTTTCTGAGAAACAGAAATGTACACAGTGTTTCTCCAATGACACACACACACACACACACACACACACCCTGCTATTGTGACTGTACACAGGCTTAAAGCCAAACATTATGTGTGCTTCATTTTCATTAATCACCTTTGTGTTAACAAATGTGTTTATTGTCGGTTTAATCACTTAGATGTGGAGAATTTGATAACAACATTTGCTCAGTGCGCTTTCATGTATCAGTGTGTTTGAAGAGAGAACCGCGAACCACACGGTCGATTTCTATTTCCGTTGTATAGTCACTGCAGGAATCTATGGAGTTGTTTGCAGGAAATATAATATTTAATATTTTTTAAAACAAGTGGCAGTTTGAACGTGTTGCTATGGTCTCATCAGTCTTATGTTATGAAATCCACCGTGTCAGTAGTTAGCTGTTAGCAAACCACGACATTGCTAACTGTGAGGAATGCTTAAGGCAAATAGGAGTGGTGATGAAACACGTGATTTAAGACAGAAAACTTTCCTATACTGTCATATACTCCAAAAAAAAAAAAAAAACACATTCTCTGTTTTTTTTTCCCTCTAATCTCTTTGATTCCTGTGGAACACAGGCACAAAACGTCTGCAGTGCCTTTGATTCCTTTAAGCATTTCACAACCTTGAATGGAATGTTTGGGAATATGAAAGGTGTGGTTGGAATTCTTCCAGTGTGAATGTGTGAGCTGTGATTTCACCACGTGTACTGCTGCTCTTTAACGTCTATGTTTACTGCCTCACACCAGTGTGACACGTGGACGGGGCCATAAAGAGACTATGTGCAGTGTATATATATATTGAGAAGGTAAATTTTTTTTTTTGAAGGATTTTAAACGCCTCGCTTTGTTTGTTTTTCCTGGAGAGACGGTAGACAGTTAGTGTCTTATGTAATGTCCATTTGGACAGATCGCGCCAAAACGCATGTTGGGTCGGGTGTATAAAAGGGGACGCCTGGATCATTTCAACGCCTCAAAAGACGTTAATCGAACTATTTACAATTTTATATAATTTCGAATACATGTTTTATTTCTTACAAACTGATATTTTAGCTGAGGGAGGAGGATGCGTGTACAGCAAATGTCTGTTTTGGTCGCTGAACCCCCCTCCCTTCTAGAGGGAACATGGTAGAGTCCATTACACGTCATCCATTGTTTACAAATCTAGCCTGGTTGTCGGTCGGAGCTGAGCGGCGTGGCGACAGCGAGCGAGGAGTGAGGAGCGGCCAGGCGGCACTCATTCATCCCAACAACCAAGACCCTTCCCCGGACACACCCGACAGACCATACTGCCGCCACCGAAATGCCGTGTCGGAAGGAGAACTACATTTTCCTGGAACAGTCGGTCACCGTCGACTCGAAAGAAGTTGACGCGCTGGTGACGAAGATCGGCGAGGCGCTTCAGCTTCACAACAATAGCGGCTGCGGTGGTGGTGGTGGAGGGCAGATGAAGTCGATGTCCGTTTCCTGCTTGAGTGGACTCGCTAGCAGCGGCTGCTGCGGAGGTACAGGGTTGAAGCCCACGGCTAACATCGTGGCCCCCGCCTTCAGACGCAGCAGCAGCGGTGGAGCCGGCGGCAGTGGCAGCTGTTGTATGCGTCTGCGGAGCCGCGGGCAGCGGGGGAGCAGCAGGGCGAGTCCGTACAGTATTCCCGGGTCAAATGGCGAGCAGGACTGGGACCAGATCAAGCCGTGGAGCAAAAAACGGGTCGGTGTTGTGGACGAGGATGACGACGACCCGCACAGGCTCCTCCAGGAGTTAATTTTATCTGGGAATCTAATCAAAGAGGCCGTTCGGAGGTTGCAGTTCTCAGCCGCAGCTGCGGACAACGTGTCGTGCTGATGAAGGGTACAAGACGCACCGTGGACCAGGGATGTTTTTCCTGTTCCTTCGCCACAATGACACTATACACCCGGGGACTGATTAAGACTAAATGAATTCACAATAATGGTAGCTACGTTTTTTTTCACCAAGTTTCGGACGGTTTGTTATGTTTTTTTTTTTTT